AACACCAGACTATGGGATAAAAGGTATAAAAGTGAAAATAATAATTTGTTTCTTCAATTATTCTTGTCTTATTAGAATGTAACAGAAAAAATCAAGCTGGGTGAAGTCAATACACACATAAGTTCACTTAGCAAAACTAAGAAAAATACCTATAATTGTGCTGACTATAAAAAAAAGGACAAAACTATCTGAACAGTATATGTGTAAGCAAACACACTCATTTAACCCTTGTAACCCTGCTAAAACGCAGGGTAAAACTGCTGACCCAGAAAGGAAGCCTAACTTGAGTGTTGACTTCACTACTGCAGGATTTCTTCAGCTTATTTTTAATTAGGCAACTTCCAATTTAAAGAAAATGAAAAGGCCAAAATTCCATCATGTTCTTTGACATCAGCATCCCCTGGGTCACCAGCACTTGTCAGAACTTATAAATTTTGCACAAAAGCCTCTCTGATTTGAATTACCAACAGAACTATTTCCTCATTTACCACGACCTGTCCTGTTTGCTCTTCATCTCTCAGCTCCTCACACCAGTTCTGTCCTGGGCATCCCAAGCTTTAATCCCCATGGGTCCCCACACCAAGGCCAGAACTGGCTGAAAAATCCAATGTGTGAATATGCAGAGCCCAGCTGTGGAGTGTCACACATGGGGAAGGCTTCAGCAGCTCAGCTGTGCAGTCCCACAAGGACAGAGGAGAGAATTGATCTGCTCAGACCCTCCCACCATCAATCTTCCCCCAGTGCCTCAGACACACCGTGCACAGAATGGGGATGGAAAGGCAAGGCAGGGTCTGTGGTACAAAATGAGATATCCTGGGGCACACAACGAGATTACATCTATTACCATAAATTATGAAGTGATTTAGGCATAAATGAGGGCTGTCATGAAATTTAATTTTAATGGTTTGATAATCAAGCAAGAAACACAATAATTGCCGTACCTATGGTTTTTCAATAAATTCAGATCACTGCTAGTGGCAACACTTTTCTGTTCACAGACATTAATACAATTCCCTCCAAGAGCTGTCTGCTATATTTTTCCATGTCAGAACAACCTGTTGATTACCTCGTTGCTGGGATAAACAAGCTCAGATTTCCCACTGATTACATTCAAAACACTTACACTTTGCTCACTCTTTTAACAGTGCAGCTGACTGCTTCAAGAAACAGATTTTTTTTTTCTTCCTCAAGAAACTGGAGACTCAGCTAGTCCAGAAAAAAATCTCTAGAGGCTGAGCTTTCCAATAGTAGACATAAGAGAATTTGCTTCCCTCAACATCATCACATATGTTCAACTGGAGAGATTAACAAAATATGTTGATACCACTGATATTTTTAATTAGCTGAAGACATTGGCAACACCTCAGCACCACTCACTGCAGCCAGAACTTCATAGTGTAACTTGGCTGACATCTTTTCATCAGGACACCAGGACTCCAGTGCATTTCCCTGTGGATATTAAAGTTTTAAAAAACTCTTGCAGATGTAAAGAAGCAAAAATTAATTTGAGTTGGAATTTAGCTTTGCAGCGAACCCTAAAATTATTTTCAGGAGCTCAACAAACAACCATCCAAAACTCTTGCTCCTCTGTTTTGTTCAACCAACCTCACAGGAGAGGGAGAACAAATCTCCTGTCTTTTCCTTCTCTACTCCAAATAAATCTTGGTTCTCTTCTCTCCCCATCATAATCTCGTGGGGAAAAAAAGACCTCAGACTAAAACATGTCACTAATTGTCCCACAATGGGATAGGAAGGAACATTTCAAGTCATGTGGAAAGCAGAGATGGGAATAAGAAGTCTCTAATTAACATCTTGGGATACAGGGGGGAAAAAAAGGCTGATCCTATCATTTGTTTGTCTGCAAAACAAGCAATGATGAAAGACAGAAAGATGAGTGAACAAAATAATCACTGAGCCCAAATTATCATTTCTGACTATAAAATGACAGGGAGCAAAATGTTTCTCTGTCCTAAAATAGAGGGAGAAGAGTGTCACTTCTCAGAAACACTGCTTATATATATCTCCAAGAACAGCTACAATGCACACAGTAAATAATTACAATTACTGGCTTAAAAAGTACAGCAAATTGTAAGTTTAAGCTTTTCTGAAAGCTAAAATGATAATTTTCACTAGTCAGCAGAATAATCTTACTGTAGAAAAAGGCATCTATTTTCCAGATAGTCTTTTAATGGCCTAAAGGATGTCTCTTTTCCTAAGTAGTATAATACCAGTTTTTCCTAACATATGCAGTGTTATTGTAGCAACTGTTATTGCCCTGTCTCTAAGTTAATTGAAGCAAACTGCCCTTCAGACCTTAAAATAAAAATATTGTGCAGTATTCTACATATTTTATCCATTTTACATGAATAGAAATAAGACAGAGAACAAGACTGGGTTGGAATGCACCAAATAATGTGGATACTACAAAATGGATCCCAGGGACTGCCCTTGATGGGCTCAGAAAGGTTTGGCAGTGCCAGCACTGATCTCCTGACAATCCCAGACTTTTTTTGGCATTTCTGTTTCCATCTCCTCACCCTTCCCATTGCCAACACCATGGTCAATTGTACAGCTTCATTATAAATCAAATATATTACAGAGAGTATTCTAATAAGGGCAGCACCCATCAGCATTCCTAATTTTCTACTGAAGCAATGCAAGAATCCCCTGCAAATTCCCTCTCAGAAGGGAAAAACTTACATTCTACAGTGACCGCTCTGTAATGTAGAGAAGAGAAGCAACACATCAGAATTTCCAAGTTATTTTATTTTCTAAACATCCAAAGTGGGAAGCAAAAGAGGCCAGAGTAAGCAGGATGCAGCATTATCCTTCCTTGTGGTCTGGAGGCAGAGAATACGAAAACACTTAAGAGTCCCCAGCAATAACAAAAGGGACAAAGAAAACAATTTCCTGCTACCTCCACTCTGTCAGGATGGGAGATTTCAAAGTGAGGGTGATGAATGGAGACGGAGTAAATTACAAAAGGAAGAGAAAGTGACCAAAGCTGGCAAAAAGTCGTAATTCAAATAAAGGTACAATGAGGCAAACATTAAGAATGAGGGCAGCAGCAAAACAGGGGAAATGAAAGAAATAATGAACTTGATTGAAAAGCCTCTCTTGAAATATTGATCAGGTATTAATAACAATCAATATCCAAAAACATTCCTAAAAGGAGACTCCAAAAGAGGGATGTGTTGAAAAGCTTTGTATACTTGGGTTGAAAACCTTGGTTCAAAAGCAGATTCCAGGGAATGTCTGCCCTGTGTTAAAAAGCAAAGATCTGGAGCCATTGCTTCAAAAAGGAAAATATCTCCTCTTCTTTTCTTTTTTTTTCTTTTTTTTTTTTTTCCCCAAAGAGCAGAAAAAGCCTTTTCCTAGGAGCAGGACTCTAATTTTAAAGCCCAGTGTATGTTTCACCTGCTCTTCTGTAGTAGATCTATTGGAATAAAAATTAAAGTTCATGGCAATATAGGAGCCATATACACAGTTTTACAATGAAAAGCGCTTACCTTGAAGAAATAGATAATAAATGAGTTTAGAACCAATGGAAAACTGTGCAATTTCTAACTAAGACAAAAAACATATTTTGCAATAAGAATAAAAATAACTTTGAAGGTTTAAATATCTGCAACACATATACAATCTCCTTTGATAAATGACTGTTTCAAAAGACTTATTGAAAGGGTTTATATCTGTTACAATGTAATGATTTAAAGATATTTAAATTTAAATCCATAGGAAAATAAAATCCAATCAAAGGGATGCAAAGAAATTTTATAACCTGATTTGTAACTTAATTTCTATCTGTTATATATTGTCCCAAAAACTGAGAATTAAAAATTTCCAGGGGTTTGAAAACTACAAAGACAATGCAAAAAACAAGAGGCATAAAAATAAAATTATACAAAAATATAGATAGGAACAAGAATATTTTGCTGGCTCTTTAGACTGCTTTTTAAAAAAGAAAAAAAAAGGCAATTCTTTCCAAATAAAAGAAAGAAGCACTGTATGTTACTGATGGTTTTGTCCACTGCTTGGTAAAGTAAAATTCAACCTGAATTTGAGTCAACACGTTTCCACTTGGTTGTGCTTTGGGAGTCACCAAGGCAAGAAGCATTCCAAATGTACTGCTATTTTACCTAATCTGTAATTCCTCTTGACAGCTGCATTCCTTGCAATTAACGTGGTTTGACTTTGAACTTAATATTCATCCAAGAATTTGCAGACATGAAAACATCTCTCTTTAACCAAGTTTCTCTGCTGCAGGCTTTACACTCTCCCAGAAAAGAGAGAGAAGTGCAAGGAGCCCAAAAGCAAGATTCCCTTTTCCATATTATCACCTTTCCAGGATGAAACTGGAATTCAGGATGCAATGATCATCTGAAGGAGATTAATCAGGCAGCCCTGAGCTACAGCCAGCAGTAGGAATCTGAGGCAGGTGTGTAATGGCAAATAATGGTTAATAATGAGCTGTACATCACTCTAGCAGGGTGGTAAGAATCAATACCCGCAACAGCCTGCTTGATCTGAAATATATTTTCCCACAGAGATTGGAATTGCTTTTCTTCAATTCTATTTTTTTTCCTGGAGTTTTCTTTGTAGGAAAAGTGAGGAAATGGCTGGGGAACCACATAAAGAAAAGTTAAAACTGGGAAAGGATAACAAACTACTGAGATCAAGTTTTAACACCAGGATTACATTTTACATTCAGAGCACTTGGAAATTACATTCAAACACTCCACAAAAGTTAAATGAGCTGTGCACCTCAGTACCAACTGCTTTGTATTTCATTATTTTCAGGATCACTACATGCAGAGCCAAAATAAATTTACTTGAGATATTGCAAAAACTTAGTGATGCACCTCCAAGGAAGAAAACTTTTCTATTCTTTTACACATGTACAACATTTAAAAAGAACAACAGGCACCTAAATGTCATCAATTGTGTACAGAAAAATACTAGGGCTAAATGTGGGCCCCTCTGGCAGTGCCAGCACTCACCGCTGGCACTCCCCGGCATGCAGAATTAAATCCTCGTTGTTCCTGGCACTGATGGTCAGCTCATGCTCCGTGGAATTGAAGACATCAAGGAGGAGGTGGCACTGCCGGGTGCTGTTCAGATGGAGAGAAAAAAAAACACCATTTCAATCGTGATATTATTGTATGCTTATCAAAATTGGTATTTATACATGGATATCAATATATGTACAAATACATACATTCACAAAGAGGTTTTATCTCCTCCTCCAATTGTAAGAATATCCCTATCCTTACAAAAACAACCTTTTTAAAAATAGAATTAATTTTTTTTGCTAGAACTAAGCAGAAGGGTAGATCCTAAAGAGAAGCAGTCCCATGACAATCCTGTCCTGCACAGTATCAAGCTCCACAGCATTTGTTCACCTCTCTATATTCTCACTTTGTAGCTTTCACATTCACTTCTGTGATGAAAGCCACAGATATTTTTCAGTTCTTTAAGCCTTCACATAAAAAGAGAAAAAAAAAAAAAAAGAGTTGCATTCCTTTAAATTACCTTGACATTACCTCTTTAGGATACAAATTTGCAAGCAAAAATTTGAATTGGTTTAAATTCATTATAAAGGAGAAATTCCATTTCCATGGCTTGTCTACAGACCAAAACAAGATGGCAATTGGAGCACTTAACCTTGAGAACTGCTCTGACAGGGAGAACTCTCTCCCCTCTGGGAGACAGGCAGACACAGGCACTTCTCACAGAAAAACTTAGTATTTGTTGGTTAATGTCCTTCAAATCCAAATTTCCCCAGATGCATTTGATAGAAATACAGCAATTGCATTTCTGGTAACCTCAAAAAATAATAGTGACAAAGTTGCAGAATAGAAACTGTACTGCAGAAGTTAATTCCAATAAAACTTTTCATTATAATTAATATTTTATCATAGCCATCATTCTTATTAATTATGTTAATACTAATAAAATAATAATTTACTAACTTATTTACTATTTAATACTATTAAATGTTAATATTTTCAATTATTTTATTCAAATTAAGATTCTGGAAAATTTTATTCTAATTTACAACCTTTCATTCCTTGTGAGAATAAGCAGAAATAACAGCATTAATGATAAAAATATAATACACAATAAAATTTATTGGAACCAGGTACCAAAATGACAAATCCTATCAGACAGCTCCAATAACACATTACCAATCTAACTGAAATTCCAAACTTCCTAAGAGGCTACAGAACAATCTAGAAATATCCCCAAAAGGAAAGAAAGAGGAATATGGGTGAAAGTTGTCGGAGCCATCCTTCAATGTTCATGATCAAGCTACAGCTGCGTGTCTGAGGCAACCAAAAATATATATTTATATAAATATATATTAAATATATAGTTAATGTATATTATTTAATAATAATTTAATTGTAGTTAATATTTAATATTGATAATAATTTACTATTTAATGTTATTATTTAATATTTTATTTATTAATATACATTTAATATAGTGAATGTATCTTAAATATATTTAATATCTATTAAATATATCTTAATATATTAAATACTTATTTCTATTTATATCTATATTTCTATTTACATCTATATCTATATCTTATTGAATATCAACATAAATGTTATCTTTAAATAAATATAAAGATAGATTATTATCTTTAAATAAATACAAATAAAAATATATTCTCATTATAATATTATTCTATATAATTATATTATATAAACATAATATTATTGTTTATATTTATATTTACTGTACAAGAGTTTGCAACTGAACTGAAATGCTATTCCAAAGGCAATTAAACTCAGGTACAAGAATTTAAGAACTGTTCTACTTTGAAATAGGTACCCTGGTCCATAATACAACCTTGTTCTGAAAATGAAAGAAGTCCCTTGCAGAGCACTCACAGGAGGAAATGTTTTGCCAGCCCCTGGGTTGGGAACACTCCCAGGACAAGCCCAGGAGATCGAGGCTGAGGTCACCAAGTGACAGCAATGTCACCTGCAGCCAGGCACTGCAGGACAAGCAAGCACTGCTGAGGTCAGGACCAAGTCTCTTAGCAAAAATAAAAAAGCAGAAGTGGGGATGGAGGCTTTTTTAATATATATTTTAAGAGATTTCTCTCTCTTTGTAAAATCCCAACGACTACTGAGCATAGAGGGGGATGCAGGGAGGCAGCCGAGTGCCTGAAGCAAACTTGTCAAAACTTAAGAATTTAGAACAAATAAAGAGATGTGGCTCTTGTTAGAAACTTCCTTCCTCAGAAGTCACAAGAGAGAAATAACTGGAAGGGCAGTGCTTGAGTCAGTTACCAGGAAGGAATGGAAAAGAAAAGAGGGAACAGCTTTTATCAGCTTCCACCTCATCTTTGGCAGAGTGGGACGAGACCTGTGAAGTCCCAGACAACCTCTGCATCCCCAGCAGATACAAGGTGATGGTCTGGAAGAGCAACCTCCAGTGTAGATTAGTTTTAAAAATTTAATATGGAAGAAATTTGTTATTTCTGCCACAGCAAACCCAAACAAAAAAACATTCAAGCCTCCTGCAATATCTTCTGGAAGCGGAGCCAAAGTTTTGCAAATAAAACAATTCATGCCACAAAGGACCTACACAAGCAGCTGCCCTTCAGGACTAAACAACATCACTGATATTAAAAATTCCCAAATATGAATTCTTGAAAATTATTCATCAGCACTACATTTATTTCCTCCTCTTCCAATACTACACAAAATACACACATAGGAAAAATAACTATTTCCTTGCCATTTGAAGTTAATTCACAAGGGAAATCTTTAGGTAAAAAAATATATATATAAAACTTGAAGTTACAGAATTATTACAGTACCTTGAAAGCTTAGAAGAATAAGATAATAGTGTGAAAGAATTGAAAGTAACATTAAGACTGCAGGAAAATGTAGCAGTAGATCTTCAGAATAAATTCAGACAGTATCAAAGGGACTATTACAGCAATGAAAACCAAACACAATTAAAGGGGTTTTGATTTGTTTTATTTTGTTAAAACAGGAAGCTTCAGACAGAAGCTCCATCCAAGTAAGGAAACAAGAAAGCATAAGCTCTGGAAAATCAGATGTAATGCCAAAAAAAAAATAAAGAACAATTTGCGGAAGATCTGAGAACTATCAGGAAGTTTTTTTCCTTTTTTTTCTTTAACATTCTGAAACCAGTAGGACTGTGCAGAACTCACGATGCTGAGTTAGGAAAGTTCCAGGAAAACAAAGAATTAACAAGAAAGCCAAAAATTAATATCAATTTTCTCTCCAGCAGAACATACAGAAGGCCATCCCTTGCAAGACAGGAATTAAAGAACTTATTTCAGTGTCAGTAAAGATTTGAGAGGCAAATCATATTCAGGGAAGTGTGATAAAGGAACTCCAGTAAGATTTTACTGAAATCCTATATTTAAGTGCAGTCAGAAATGCATTGCTTAAACCAAGCTCTTTACCAGAAAATTTCAAACATCAAATTGTTTTAAGGATTTGAAGGCAATTGACCAAATCTTAGTCCACTAGTGCTGACCTTAACATTATGCAAATCAGGTTTTTTTAAAGTCTGCCAGCTTACAAAAAAAAAACCCTTAAAACACTCAAAATAATAAATGGATCTAAAGTTGATCACATTATATACCATAATAGCCCTACTGACATGTTTGGCAGAGAAATACCACTCATAAGCCACAGATTTCTGGAACTGGGAAAGACTTGCCCATATATACACATTTTATTCTCCCTTTCCCAAACTATCCACCACCATGTAATAGTTTAGACTAAATATTTAATTGGCTAAGGAGGGTGAATTTTGAGTCCTCTAAGTTTATTTAAGTAGGTTTAGTTACCATTCATCCCAGAGAAGGCAGAGAACACTATCCCCACATTTCACACATTCTGAAGGGTCACCAGTGGCTTCCCAGTCTTTTTTAGGGGTCATTATTTGTTACCAGCTCCTTTTGAAAGTTTGGGATGAACACATGCAGAATAAATCAATTTCTGGTTGGGTGGGGTGGGTTTGTGGTTTAGGATGGTGTCAGACACACAACATGAAACCATCACCAGCTGTGCTGGACCAGGAACAGACACCAGGATACAGAACAAATGTTTGTGAAAGGGTTTGACTCTTATTCCCATCTAATGGGAAGTGTAGTCCAATAAACTCAGCCTACCAAAAAATCACAGCACCCAAAGATTTTTTCCATTTTGATAATCTTCCTGATTTGTTCATGATGCTTGCTTTGGAAAAATCTGCCATAAATGTCATGTTTAAGATTCTCTTTTACAACTGACACAAAACTGCAGAAGGTTCTAGAGGTAAAAACTAGAATTAGAAGGAAATATTTTCAGTAGATTGATTTATCACCTGAACATCTCAGAATTACAAACTTAAGTCAATGCTGATATCAAAAAACAATTAAGAAACTTTTTTTTTAATTGAAAATTGAGTTAATTCAACAATGTCTTAGAGATTTAGTGTATAAATGAATTTCTGTTATCATCTACTGTGGAACTGAGAACACAGCACAAGCAAAAGTTAGCAGTACAATGAATCATGCTGTATTTTTAAAATCTTACAATGCCAGTTATGGTTCCAAAAACAGTCACAAAACTGGGGCCATGGGAACTTCAGGCAAATGACAATGACACTGTGATCTAAAAATCTCTTTCAGGAGGATTGTGATTACTTGAAATGACAGCTGAGGATATTCTTCAGTAACATTGAACACAGAATTAAACCCCAAATGCAGCTGCAATGATGGCTCACTTCAGTGAACAATCTCTGCAGTTCTGTCTCCAGCTTAGTTTAAAAGTCACTTTAAACAAGAAATTCTCAGGAGGGTTGGCAAGTTTTCTGCATCCTGACTCATCTCCCTTCCCCATCAACTGAAATCATGGAGTATTTTCAGATCCACTTTTTAAATCTTTCTTTTCTTCTGTTTTCTTTGAGCAGCCATTGCTGCACAGAATGGGACAGGCAGGGAAGAGAAGCTTTGGCTCTGGTGACAATGGTGTGACAGATGACAATCCTGTTCTCCAAAATCCACTGACCAACACAAAGAGCAGCACAGCAGAACTATCTACACCACCTTCCTTGATGCTGTTGTGTC